GTAGGGAAAAGCTGGATTTTTTTTCCTAGGGATACCCATTTATTTCACTTTCACAGACCTAAGAGAGAGCTGCGTGTTCTGCATTCACGTCCAGAGGTAATAATTCCTATAGGAGAAGTTAAATAAGAGCTGAAAATGCACACTCAGTTGTAGAACAGCTGCTGAACACATCCACAAATTTACTCTTTCAAAGTCATGCCTGATTTTTTGGCAGATACCCCGTGGCTTCATCGAACCCTTTCTCAGAGATGATTTTATCTTATGAGGCTGTGAGCCTGCCAGTACAGTTCATTCTTTTATCTGAAAAGCCACAGGGCATTTTGGGGCCAGAGGGCTTATCTCGTTTCAAGTTGACAGAAAAAATACGCTTGAATGACAAAGACTTAATTAAAAAGTGCCTTTTAAACACCGGGCAGGTTATTTTTCATCAAGTAGTTGAAACTTAGCTCAGTGTAAACTTTCCCTGCTCCTTGGGGTGCATCATGTGGTGTAAATTGTCACAGCTTAATAGGAAATGCATCGGCCCGTGGTTTTGCATGGGAAAGAGAGCTCAAGGTAAAGCAAATCAATACGTGGGCATTAAATAACAGACTTGACTGGGTGTTTTAATCCATACGCAGTCTGTGCGTGCTTCGTGCATGCTGAAATCATGGTTATCTTGGACTTTTGCTAAATAGACTCATTTCCCACACATCCTGGAAAGGACGAGCAGTAATTTCCTCGACTTTAATATCTTCTCAGGTCATTAAAACAATTTTTCTTATTCAGGTATGATCTGATTTCTGAAGAGTGGCTTCCACTGAACCACACTGTGAACTCCGTAGAGATGAGATACGGCCATTCCTTGGCGCTGCATAACGTAAGTCCAGTGCTGCAGACTCGGCTCCCACCTGATTTCCCCCTGCACCCACCCCTTTCCACAGCTGGGTCTTGCTTCAAGAGACGAATTCCTCCTTCAAAGGCTTCTCCATGGGCATCCCAGTCTCTGTCCTTGTGCTCCAGGCACTCCTAGGACTGGTATCCTAGGAAATCTCTCATACCTTTGCTTGTGTTTTCCTCCTTTGCCCCTTTTATCACAGATTTTAAGGCTCAGTGAGTCCTTTATTTCCTTCTTACACTCTGTCCTTGCAAGAATTGCCTGACAGACAAGGTTTGCTGGAGCTCACCTGATTCCCAGCTGCATTTCATGTAGACCACATAAATATTTTGATGAGCTCCGTTGTCCAAGGCACCAAATTTGAGCTGGTGAATTCAGGGATTTTTGGAGCCTGCTCTGCGTCTGCAGTAAACTCGGAATCTCTTCTTCCAGCATCTGAAATGGCAAATTTTTTGCCTGGTTTTTACCTCATTTCTCACCTGCGTGCCCTGCTGGGGGTGCAGGCCACCTGAGAGCAGAATGGCAAAGCCTTTGGAAAGCAAATGAGCTAATCCTTCACTGACCTTTGGTTTTGGGATGGTAATTGGCTCATCACAGTACAAAGCCTCTACAAAGCATAATTATCAACACTCCAATTGCGTTCACAAACACTTGAAGAAGCTGAGAAGGGTGGAAATTCCTACCTGCAAGGTCTCGAGGCACATTCTGCAAATAACTGTTCAAAAGTAGGGTTGGATAATAAAACAAAAGCCTGTTTAACTATCCTGGCTCTCTCCTTTCCAAAGGGTCCTCATTTTTTGTCATTGCTTTAAATTTGAAGACAAAGCTTTTAGTGTATGAACACAGAGGAGTTTCAATCATAACTGCCTTTCTTCCTAGCTGTTTTCTGGTGTTTGGATTTGCAAGTGATGGGAGGGATTCAGCTTGCTTATTAAATCACCTTCTATCAGGTGCCTAATTTTGAGTGCCTTATGAACCTCTGAGCTCCATTTATAATGGAAACAGACCCAGTACAGGTAGGGAAATCTGAAGGGCAAGGCAGCTCACCCAAAAGTAGGGACCTTAAAGCCCCCCAAGTCCAACCCCCACGGGCAGGGACACCTCCACCAGCCCAGGCTGCTCCAAGCCCCAGCCAACCTGGCCTTGGGCACTGCCAGGGAGGGGGCACCCACAATCCTGCACCCCTCTACCTCCTTACCCTGATACAGAGCAAACTGTGTGTGCTGAAGGTATTTTGACATTACAAACTTGGGTACAAACTGTGGCAGTCGTGATTGCTTTCATATCAGATGTGATTGGTGAAGGAGATAAAGTTTCTCCTTGAGAGAGGAGAACGGCTGAGAGAAGATAAAATTGTAGTAACTTCATTACTTCTATATTATCTGCTAAATGCCAAACTCGTTATTTTAAATCTTAACTTCTTTCAGGATAATATTTACATGTATGGTGGGAAAATAGACGCGACGGGGAACGTGAGCAGCCAGCTGTGGGTGTTCCACATTCCCAGCCAGACCTGGACGCAGGTGATGCTGCAGGCCAAGGAGCAGTACGCTGTGGTTGGCCACTCGGCGCACATCGTCACCCTGCGGGACAACAGCACGGTCATGCTCGTCATCTTCGGGCACTGCCCTCTTTACGGGTACATCAGCAACGTCCAGGAGTACAACATTGGTGAGTGGGGGCTCACCTGCCATTCACTTCAGTTTTAACAGTTGAAAAATATTTCTATGATCCACATTCACATAGAAAACAGAGACAGAGATGTTCTTCTCCTTCTGTTTATTTTTATATATATATATGTATTTTACAAGGAGTTCAATCTTACTTCCAGTGTTTGTACAGCACAGTCAGCAGGCAGCCACATCCTCCGGCTTTCCACAGCTTGCTAGGTCCCAAAAAAGCTGTAATTAGAGACAAAGCAGGACAACTGGGGGACAATTTAGATGCATTTTCCTCTCTTCCCTCTGACAAAGCAAACACTTTTGAAATTATTTTTGTATCCTGCGAATATAAGAATGGCTGTAACAATTCAAACCAAGTAGCCGCATAACCCGATAGCCCTGTCTCCAGCAGTGGTGATGAGCCAATGCTGAGGGGGACAGGGAATGAATTCCTGGATTCCCCTCTCTCTGATATGATTTGGTTCCGTTATCTCTGGGAATAGTCCATACTCTGATTTTAGGATCCAGAGGTTTCCAGTATCACCTGCTCTCCAGATGAACTGAATTTCTACCTGATGTAGCTGCTCTGAATCAGCTCTGGAGACGTGTCCCTTGCTCCACGGACCAGATGGAGGATGTCGTTGAGCACAGGGAGATCACAGAATGAGTCATAAAATCCCAGCATGGTTTGGGTTGGAAGGGACCTCACAGCCCCCCCAGTCCAACCCCCATGGGCCGCGACACCTCCACCAGCCCAGGCTGCTCCAAGCCCCAGCCAACCTGGCCTTGGGCACTGCCAGGGAGGGGACACCCACAGCTTCTCTGGGCAACCTGGGCCAGGGCCTCACCACCTCACAGGGAGGAATTTCTGCCCAATATCCAGTCTAAATCTCCCCTCTTCCAGTTTGAAACCATTCCCCTTGTTCTATCACTACCTGCCCATTCAATTCCTTTGCTTTTTCTGTGCCTGATGTACCCTGGAGTTAGGAAGCCTGTGTAGGGTTTCATTCTGCACTTACTACAGAGAATTGATGTATAATTTGGCATTTTTGTTTCAGTTACCATTACATTACATCTAGAGTGCTTCAAACCAGTGTTATTTTAGTGAGTGAGATATAGGACCATTAATCACATATTAGTTTTTAACTGCAGTGTTCTTCACAGTCACACTTGGCTTCAGTGCTGCCTGGCTTTATAATATATACATGTACAATAAAAATGCTCTTGGGTACCATTCCAAATCAAGCCACACTGCTGGCATTCCCATGTCATTGAAATGCAATATATTACTTCTGTACTTTTTATCTCTCATTTACTTAGCTTGTCTGCAAAATATAGTACGTGACTGTAGAGGAAACGTTTCTGGTCTAATTAAAAAGACTTTGTTGATAAGTTATCGATGGAGATAAATTAACCACGTTTTGTCATTCACATTTTTCATTTCTCAGGCAAAAACACGTGGAGCATTTTGCAGACCAGCGGAGCCTTGGTGCAGGGAGGGTACGGTCACAGCAGCGTTTACGACCCGAAAACAAGATCGATTTACATCCACGGAGGTTACAAAGCGTTCAGCGCCAACAAATACAGGCTGGCAGATGACTTGTACAAATATGAAGTTGATTCCCGAATGTGGTAAGTGTTATTATAGAAGTATTACCCTTTTTCGTGGATGGCATCTCATTATTTGTGCTTTTCGCTGACAGAAGGATGGGCTATTTGATGAGTG